GGGAAGAAGTTTTGGGTGGAGATCTCGACTAGTGGGATGCGTCAAATGAGAAGAAGGCACATAAAACGAATAATGAAAATGGGTAATTTGGGTGTTTTGTTGATTTGGAAATAAAAGATACCTCATCCCACCTCAATGGTCGGATACGGAGTAACAAAAAAAGGGTAATGCAACCGAGTTTTTGTGGGTTTAGCGGGCTATACAAGAGGCAACCAAACAAAATAAATAACTCGATATAATAACAAATGACATGATAATAAGGCCTAATCCTCTCTACCGAACACACCCCTAGAACATAGTATATCGACCTGAGTCCCACAACTATCGAGCTAGAAATGAGTCTGATCAAGTTGTTGTCCTAAGATTTTTGGGACAAGCTTTTCGTTACCTAGACTATTATAAATTAAGTAATAGTGATTGATGAATAAGCGCATTTGCATTGCAGCGTTAGTTCTTCCCGATTAAATGATGAATTTTGCGTTCAATGCGTCGCGGGCGTTCATTAACACATGGGGCCCTTGTTTCCGTTCAATACATTAAACGCCTCATTTGGCCTTTTTTTATTTTTTTTTCACCGCCTCTAATGGGCTTATTGCTTTTTCTTTTGTTTTTATTTGTTTAACTATTTTATATTTATATATATTTAATTCGGTTTTATCTACATCATTTTGTCTTAGTTGAGCATATTTGAACTCATTTTGCCAACAAAAAAAAAAATATTATTTTTATAATTGTACTATTTTTTTCTTGTGTAATCGTATTTTAAGTTATTTTGGTCTTGTAGTGTTCTTTCATTTTAATGAATCTAAAATTTATTATTATAATTTAAAAATATTAAAATTTAGAATAACAAAAATTATATTAAAATTTATTTTTATTGTGGATGATTAATTAAGGTAATAAATCACATATTTTTTTTTTTGTATCTCAAGATATTCATATCATATAATTGTACATATATATCATATATTTGTACCTAAAATATCGAGATCTGTCATATTCCTAACAAACATTAGATTTACTTATATATTTTTAAATTAATCACATCAACAAATAATATTAATATACATTAAATATTTACCATTATATTAAAAAGAAATGTTACTTCTATAAATGTTATAAATAAGATTGACAATATACGACAATAAGTTTTTGAATAAAGTAATATTTGAATATTATGATGAACCAAAATATGTAAAATTCTTATTTTTTTTGTATAAAAAATAAATATATATGTTAAAATGTTAGTTATATTAATTTAGACAGTTCAACAGTCTAATACATTGTTAAAACAAAATATTGCAAAAATATTATACATTACGAAATCCCCGTGTATTGCACGGGATTCTCACTAGCATGTAGGAATGTGAGTGTGTGTTTACATAAAAAGAGATTTAGTGGAAAAATGATGTAGAGATAACGTAGATGAGAGAAGTTGTTACTTTTCGATTGGATAAATTGTGTTAAGGATGGTGGCTGCCCTAATAAATACTTAGACGAGTCGTATAGCCTGTCTGACCATATCAATTGCATTAATAATGAGTTTGATGAATAATTAATGCTCAAGTCATGTAGCCTCTGACCATATCAAATGCAAATTTCACATCAACTTGATGAATAAAATTAAAGAAATGATTAGGTGCTTGTACAGGGTAATGTGGGCCAAGTTATTGGGCCTCCTATTTAATGCATCATTTAAATGCATTGTACAGGGTAATGTGGGCCAAAGTTTTTAGGCCTCCGTATTTAATGCATAATTTAAAAGCATCGTCGGTATACTGTATACAAATATGTAGACTAGTATTCGATCATATGCAAATGCATAACTACAAATAAATATTATAATTTATTTGATACATATAATATTAAAACTTTAAATTAGATAATGAAATCATATTTTAAGCATAGAGTATTATAAGTTATATTATGTATATAATATTAAAATTATAAGTTAAGATAATGTTAGTATGTTTTAAAACTTGATCATTGGTTAAAATAAATAGTACATAGTGATTTGTTATTGCATATGGACCACTATACTTATTGCATAAAAAATAATAAATAATATAATTTTTATAATTTTGAAGAATCGTGACTAATTATTTAGCTGAAAAATATTAAGGTTATTATGACAATTGCTTATGCGATTTTAAATAATTTTACTATGACATTAAAACAAAATAGTTTATTTAAAATATAATCGGTTAATCAAGATAAACCAATATAGTATCTATTACTATATAATAGAGAGAAGAAAAAAAATACAAAAATAGTATGTAAGTTTTCCGCTCATTTTTTGTTTTTTTGTAATAAAGGATTTTTATTTTTTTGAAATTTTTGGGAAATCCCGCCCATATTCTTATTCAATCTTTTTTATTTTTATTTTTTGAAAAAAATAAATTCAAACATTTAACTGAAAGATTACAAGCAGATTTTTTGGTTACGTTTCATTTTATCTTTACTTCTTGATGATCAGTTGATCACATTCCTAACAAACTAATTAGTATAATATTTTTAATCCACGTTTATATAATCTGATTTCTTAAAATATAATTAATATAATATTTTAACTAATTAATTATTTGTATAACTAGATTTATCTCATTAACAAACATGAAATTTTTTTGAAATTAAAAAAATTTGGATGATTTTTATTTATAAAAAAATAAAAAATAGCTTTACTTTAAAGTTTGGATTTTTTTTATTATTTTTTGTACATTAACAATCATATATTGGATAATTGATTTAAAAAAAAATCAAAACCGTAAGGATTAATAGTATTCCTTATATAAAAAATATTGTATAAAGAAAAGTGTTTAATAATATATATTTTTCATTGTTTATATTTATTTTATTTACATAATAGAAGAGAGGCGAAAACTGTAAAGAGTTATATTTAAAATAAAGTCTAAAAAAAGTTTAAAATATGAGCTCCTTCATGCATAGAACGGGATATACACTAGTTAAGTTTTAGAATAAATAACTTGAACAAAAAGTAATGGTTTTATGCAGAAATAATTAATGGTGGTAAGTTACAATTTAAAAAATAACTAGTGTAAAAGAATGATTAATGGTGGCGAGTAACGGCTTTAGGCGAGAATCTTCCACGTAGGTATAACTAAATATGTTTTATTTAATGCTTGGCC